TATGTATGTGTTTTTACGACAAAAGAAATAGATTTCTCTCTTTAAATGTTTTTGGAATTTAAAAATTGCTTACAGTTGCACCATTACAAGTTGTCACACGAGTAAAAGAGAAATAAGTGGAGGAGGGAACGAGGAGAGATAAAAATAGGTTAATGAGCAGAAATTTTGTGTATAAACGAACAGAGCAAAGTTTGTAAGGTCATTTTCTTCCACTATTTTCTTAGAAATATGCTAAAAATGAGAATAAGAAGAAAAATAGCCATTATTTTTCCATAATTTAATATAACGTCTCTTTGAAAAAGAATTAACTACTTAAAATTAATAGGTATAACGGTTAAGATTTTCTTTTCTGTTTTCTCCATCTCTCTCTCTCTCTTTCTCTCTTCGCTTTTTCACATATTGTACATTCATTTATTATGTATACTATAAACTAGTTGTTTTTATACGAGTATTATATAGAGATATATATATACACTATATTATTATTATATAATGTTGGTGCGAAATTTATAGTTAAATGTACAATATATTTAAATTATATGTACATAAAATTATATGTATATACATCAGAAAATATACATAAATACGTGCATGTTATTTAACTATATGATGCATAACACTTGAATGTAGGTACATCTATGATATATATATATATATATATATATATACCGAATAATAATGTATAAAAGTCAATAATTTCTTAATGCATTTTAATAAATAATTTTATAATTTTTAATTTGATTTGAACAAAAATTTATTATTTATTATATTTTTATATTTATTTTAATTTGTCGAATAAACGATGGGAAAATATCAAATATTTTTTGGTTATTTAATTTTTTTTTTTTATTTTAACAAGCATTAAAAACATAAATTATTATCTAATGGAACGTTTATTAAATGCTAATGTATAATAAGATTTTGGTACAGTACCTAGACAAATGCTAATGACATGTACCCATAATAGTTTATTTTACAAATATTTATACCTTGAATACACAAATGTATGTACGTCTATAAAATGAGTGTATATGTATTCAGTCACATTATAAGATATATGGTAATTGGTAGCATAATAATATTGCAAGTAATAAATAATTTAATTTGTTTAAAAATTTTAACAAAAATATCCTAATAATTTAGAAAATTTATACTAGTACTTATGCTTATACTCAAGAAGTTTAACAACCGAGTAAATTAAAAAAAAAAAAATGTTTTAGTTAATTTTGATTGGAATTTAATGTATTCGATAATTTTGATTATTAATAGTTAGGATTATATTAACGTATGGTTCATAATTGTGCTTCAAACATATTTTGGCAAATAAGACTGATTTTGAAAGACAAAAATGACTTCAAATTTGTTTTCAATATAAGTCAATAAAAAATCAATATATTTATTTTAAACAATATTATTTATTTAAACAGTAGTAAGAGAGGGGGATCCACACACGAAATTTACACATTAGGCCAACGAGTTGGCCCATAGGCAACCCTCAAATCAACACTCCTAAATGCTATAGCAGACCCACAGCCATCTGTTGGAATTGATTTAACTCCTTGACGAATCAAAAGCTGCGCCAAAGACTCTCCCGGCTGGTACCCCAGACCTTTGTAAAAGAAGATCTCCCGGTTACGCTTCCTCTTCCACATCAGAGACGAATATGTGAAACATGTTCCATATCTTCTATCTGCGCAATATCCTAACATCCCAAACAGACATTTGTCAAAGCGACTCCAAGTACTTTGTCCATTTTGCCTGAAGAAGCAATGTTCAGTCAGCAACCCCAACAGTATGTTGAGATCCGCCTCATCGTATCTAAACCACACTTTTATTTTTTTGTTTATGAGGGCTTTCCAGTATTTTAAAACAATTTAAGTTTTAAAACTTTTTTACGAAATCATTAATATCAATACGATTTTATAAATTAGTATACGGACCCTGATTATAAATATGGAATCAGTCGGACTCTGGTTTTAAATACCGTTTATAAAGAAAATATTAAGTTCTAAATGAGTTTCAAAACTCTAATAAATTTTTTTTTATTAGAACTCTTCAAATTCGGAATATTAAGACTATTTAAAGTTTGAAAGGCGCCAAATACATTCATATGGGATGGTAGCAGTGAAACGATCATTACCTACTGCTCAAATATAATTATGCTGCATACCGTCGAAATGATACTTTGGATTAATTCAAAATCCAGATGAATGCTAATGAAATTATTCCAAATAATCTTTTATAATTCAAAATTCTTAACAAAGAAATTTTAGAATATTTTATTTTTAACTACTATACTACATATAATGCGATTATGTTAATATTATATTGCAATTATTATCTGTAAGTTTTATTCTAGGTAATAAAATTTTAATAATTATGACTTAAAATAATAATATTAATAATTATAATTTTCCGTATACTCAATTTTAAAAGTGTTTATTTATAAAATTCCTTATAATTCTGTAATTAAAGTATTTTGTCTGAACAATGTACTCATAAATTGTAATTTAAGCAAAATATTTACTTTATAAATAATTTATTTTTGTTATATAATTAAATCTTATTATTTTAATATTGTTATATTCCAAATTTTTCCCACACTTCTGATTAAAATTGGAATTTTTTTAAATTTATTTCTCATTCACTTTCAACTCTAAGTGTACGCAATTTTTAAGTATTTTGTTAAGTGAAAAATATAACAAAAACTTCATTAATGAAGTAATAATAATAATTATATTAAAAAATATTCACAAGGTCAGTCAGTATAATTTTATTTAAAAAAAAATTTTCAAATAATAAAATAAATCAAAAATAATATTTCATTCTTTTTATATAATTTCAAATTTTAAAATCATTATTAAAACTTAAATAATAATTATTATATTTGTTATATTAAAAATTTCAAGGTTTCCTCTTCTGTTTTTTAATATTTTCATCGAATAACTCATTGAGTTGTTGAATAAATTTTCGACCATATAGAATTTGAAATTAAAAATACAAATAATATAAATTATACTTTATAATGATATTATTTTCTAAATTATAATAATATAATTTAATTATCAAAATATAAGAGTTAAAAGAAAAATAATAATATAAATCTAAAAATATAAAATAATAAAAGAGCATAAAATAATAATATGGTTTTCAACTTCTCAATCAGTCAGTGAGTCAGTCATCATTAGGCAAGGTTATAACATGCAATTTGTTTCATTATCATATAATTATATTATGTATATCATTATGTTTTTCATATATATGTATATTATTTATGAACCGTTATAAAATATTTGCACATAAAAGTGTGCTTTAAATTTTAAATTTAGATTTATAATGTGAAAAGAGATTTGTGGCCAACTTCAACAAATTTATTTGCGCAGTTAAATTATGAAATTTAAGTATATTAATATTTTCATTTAAAATAGCAGGCATTACAAACTGTTATAATTGTTATACAAAAAATTAAGAGAGTCGAGCTATTGAGGACGAATTTTATTCAATAATATAATCTGTTTCAGAGTAATTGGTGACAGGTTTATGTCAAAATTGAGACATTATTAATATATCTCAATGGCATAAAAAGTCATCTAGCGGAAAAAATGTTAATCACTACTTTTCTCTCTTACTAATTTGTATTGTTTTTTCTCTCTTACTCCATTATTGCGACTATTATTGTCTTCCACTTGATTTTTTCGAGTCAAGCTTCAGTTACACAGAAGTCATTGAGTAAACTAGCCGATGTCATGTTTATGAGCTGTAAGTTGTGAGCAATAATGTTAAAATGATTCAATTTTTTTTCCAAAATTAAATTTTTAACTTGATTCGATAATGATTTTTTCGACTGTCTACTCGTACTTTTTTTTTTTTTTCCCTTAAAATCACAAATTCAATAGGATTTGAAATTTGATTAAAGAAATTTTCAATAACACCAATATTTTAGGATTTAGAGAGAAAATTATTAAATACCTTTAATTTGTAAACATATTTTTTACGATTAAAAATTTTTTGCCGTTTTTCCTCGATTTTGTCGTTGATTGCGTACGTGTTCTTGTACATGAAATCCTCAAAGAAAAATGTTTGTGTGTGAATTCATTCGCTTACCTTTTGGTTGACTAGATTAACTAATTTTCTGTTTTGTGTTTTTTTTTTTTGCAGTTACTTCTTTCTTTTTATTGTTTCTTCATGCTTTAATAATTATGTTTTATTTGAACACCATATAAAATTAAAAAAATATTTTTCTGATAACTAATTTCCGCTTCTCAAATTAACTTCAAAAATTGTAAAAAAACAAAAAATATCAGAAAAACGAAGCAAATTTCTGTGTACAACAACAATAACATATTATGCTGGTAAGCCATCGCTTGACTATGTATACTATATGGCATTAACGACATTTGCCAAGCATTATTATGAGTGTGTATTTTGCGAATAAAAGAAGTGTTTCGTTGCATATGGTAAAAAGAATGATTTGTCGTTTTGTCCATAATTTTTTATCTTTTTTAAGCGTGTAATTATTTTTAGTATTAAAATTTATGTATTTTTGTATAAATATAGTTATATAGCATATGTATACGAATATTTTTGCACAATAGGTTGTAGAAGTGAGAAATACTAAAAAGTACAAGTAGGAATTTTTTTTTTCAATAATTTGTTCCGATATGTGCGCGCAGTGTTAATTTTGATTATTTTTTATTCATGTGCTTTACGATTTATTTCATTTTGTTTCCTTAAACTCGTATAATTTATTTATTTCAAGATTTTATCAAATTACCGAAGCAATGGTGGTATTAGAGTTTTATTATTGGAATTATTGCAAAAATTTTTAAGTACTACTTTCTGAATTAGAATATTTTAATCATTTAATATAATTTATAAACAAAATTACCCAAATATTTTAAATATGTTAATTAATTTTTAAATTATTTTTTATAATTTCAGATTTAATACACACAGCCCAGTCATATAAATGATTGAAATGAAAGCCCAATAAAATATGTAAAATTAGACAAAATGAAATTTAAATTTATAAATTTCAATATTTAAATGGCTGACTCAAGGATTTAAATTTTTAAAGGAAGAAAAAGAAAATATTGAAAAAACGACGGAAAAAGGAACAAACTAAAATAAATTTATTAGAAATGACTACTATGTCACAGAGAGATTTTTCTGAGGTAAGTGCATTCTTATTTTCTTAATTTATTTCTATAATAGAATTGATTTTGAATAGAAGTTGCATCACTATAACTTTTGAATTTTTTGAATGAAATATTAAAGAATCACAAAATTAAACTATATATTATAAGTTATTCGAATTTAATGCTTACATTAGATTAGAATCTTCATTCTTTTGTAAATACGACGAGGAAGCTGTGGACATAGCTAGACTTGTCTCGCACATGGGACCTGATATCTCTTCGATGGGGAAATATCGGTGCTCTAACCCTATATCGGGAGATATAGGGGTTCTGACTGGCAATTGTCTGATTGACGAACGTGCAAGGAGGAAGGGAGAAGGGTTTCAAGGGAAGGGAAATCTGGCGCAACAACTACTAAACAACACAGTGTGTGTATTAAATTTAAGTAATACAATTTGGCATATTCGTCATGGCATAGTCATTTAAATTATCTATGACCAATTATATACTGGATATTATCCTCTATTATTCTCATTATATTTCCCGATTATGGTGTTTACGTTAACCTCTTTATGATTCCTTTTTAATTTATGTTGTGTGTACTATGATTTTTAAAAATATTTTCAAAAGTTTAGCCGTCAATTATGAACATTTTCTTCTTTTCGTTCATCACAAATGTTTTTTTGATGTAGTGTGGTCCAATACAAAATGAAAATCTTAAAATATTTTACTCCTAATTTAATTTTAATTGTAAACGTTTTAGGTAATCTCCGCCTTCGCATTTCTTAAAAAAAATTTAAGGTTTAATAAAAAAAAAACCTGGAATTTTTATTTTTAAAATATAAGTAGAAATTTTTCATAACCGCATACATTTTAGGTTAATTTTTAAGTTCAAATAATAAATTTATCATAATTTAGGATTTTTACACGTTTACATAGCAATTAAAAAAATTAAAAGCAATAAATTCAGAAAAGGAATTTTCCTTTTGATTCTAGAAAAGCGAATTCTTTCAAATTATTAATTGTTCTATATACCCAAAAAAATGTTGACCCTCCCGTTTATAAATTGAAATCCTCTAACGATTTTGTATTTATCTAAATAACAATTAATTCAAGTATAATATAAAATTATGAAAATAGAAATTAAAAAATTATTTTTTAATAAAATTTTATAAATTATAATTTTTTAATTGAAAATGATGGTATGTATGCGTTATTTTTCAATTTTTGAAAAAATTTTGTTAAATTTTAATGAATTTTATGATTTATTGTACAAACAAATGTAAAATGTACATATACCATTGTAATAAAATTGCAGTAATTCTTTATTAATTAAAATATTAATTATCTATCAAATTTTGTAAACTCCTTCTTTAGAAGCAACCATTATAAAGATTAGTAAAATTGGTGAATTTAACTTAGTAAAAAAATAAATCACTTTTTCACGTTTTAAAATTTTTCTTGTTTATTTTGCTTTTATTTTTTCTTTAAATACCAGTTAAATATGGTGTACACCTTGTTCTTATTATAAACCAGTGTTGGTTATAATTAAAAAATTCTTAAAATTTTAAACTTAATTGTAAATTTAATTATGAAACGTTGGAGCTTAGGAAGATTAGGAAAATTATTAAAATTTTAAGAATTTTAATTCAAATTAGAAAGGATTTTGATTTTATTCTGAAAATTTCAAAAATCCGCCCTTCAAACTGAATAAAGTTTTTAGTTTCAATGTAATAGAATAAATATAGAAAACATATTATTAAACTGATAATATCTTTAAAGCTTAATTTAGTTTAAAGAGGGGAGATGGCAGCCGCAGCGCAGTCACTAGACCAGCAGAAGGCTAATCGGCGTCCCTCAACAGCATACATTAATCCCCTAAATCCACTGAAGTCCCTTGTAAAAGCCCAGCAGATCAGTGAGAGACACCTCTGGGAGCTCCTCAAATCCGTCGAACTGGTATCCTCCCAAAAAAGCGCTCCCCTCTTCGCGTCATTTATTTTAATAAAATTTACCGATAAACTACAGTTACCTGAAAAAGTTATAACGAAATTAAGTATGTATATTATACTACCATAGTATTTTTTATTTTTACGTAAATTTTTCGCAATTCAGTCAAATATTACAAAATTATAGTATTATACTCAGGACATCTTCTGACCTGTTTGGTGCCCAATGTGGTTTCAAAAAAGTGCGCTCTCTCGCTTTCGAACCAATGAATAATATACAGAAAACATTGCAGATTACGTATAATAATTGCACCTCTGTTTTCTAGCGCTCATTGCATATAATTATTTTGCATGTATGGTAGATCCGGCACTGATTATACTACCATCATTTAAATTTTAACATCACTGATTGCTTGTTCTTTTCAATATACACTTATTTTTAACCACATTATTCAACTACACTTTAAAATACAGAAAACAAAAACCAAATTATATTGAAAAATTTCATGAAAATTTTATAAAATATAAAACTTATATTAACTTTTAATATGGGGATGGGAAACTCTTAATTTTCTTATATTCTTACATATATATGTGTATATATATATGTGTAAAACAAAATTACAATTTATATAAATAATTTAGAACAAATTTATTAAACTGGTGTCGGTTCTTTATCATCTCTATCCCACAAAATATGTATAATATGTACATATATATCACATATATCAGTATACATAGTATCTATCCAAATATATTAACATACTATTATTCAATATACATATATATTGGAAAATAAATTGAAAAATTAAAAGCAAAATCTAAGATAATTTTAACCTTATATCGTTTGATATTCTCTTATATATACATACGTTTGTATTTATATATATATAAAGCCGATGAGTTGAGTTACCGTATAATGAGATTTTAAATTTTCTCTATTTTTTATAAAAAATTTTTTATTTAAAAAAAAAAAGTTAACAAAAAAAAATAAGAAAATCTTTGAAAACCACACATAGTACAGCCTTGAACTTGACTTGATAAAAGCATTTTGTAAAAATATATAATATTTTTTAATATTAGTATATAAGCCTTCATATATATATATATGATATATATACATATATACTTATTTATATATTTAATATTTATTGGATTCCGACTCGATAGTCTTGGTTAAATTTATAGATCTCTTATATTATCCATAGTTCATATTATTTATTTATTTTTTTAAGAATTCATTAAATCTGGTATAACATTATCACAATTAAATAAAAAATTAATGAAACTTAGTTTGATTATTTTAATATTTGTAACAAAGTATTGATTTTAGTTCTCACATTTTAATTAAATTCATTTGTAATTGATTTTGTATAATAAAATATTGATATTAAAATAATAAAAAATAACATTTGATTCTGTATAAAAATATTTGACTTGAGAATTCAGACATATCTGATACAATAAATTTAATTCTACAAGTAAATTGCAATAAATAATAACGATTAATGAAATAATTAGTATACATACAATGTAAGCTTAATTCAGTATCTAACACTTTATTAAATTAAGATTATTTTGTAATTGTAATGTGGCAACCTTATACTTATAAGGAGTGGATTATCTCTTACAGCATTCAAAAAAAAAAATAATACTCAAATTACGAATATGAAATAAAATTTTTACAGGCATTATAAAATTCTTGAGTTTAAAATTTTGCAAAATGAAAATTCAATTTTAAATGTTATACTATAATTATACACAAGAGGTCATAATTCATAACTTTGCCTTCACGATTAAAAACAAAAAAAATTACATTATTTAATTAGGTGAGAAAACAAAAACTTCATAGCCTGTATTATAATAATCTCTTCTACAATAATGTTAATCTCACAAAATTTTATTCTCACTCTCATACAGAATTATAATTCTCTCACGTATTGATATAATAATGAAATTTATTGATAACTCTCAAGAGATTGAGTGATTACAGTATGAATTTGTAATATAATTAAATTCAAAAGTTTTACAGCCAGTTTATGTATCTCACTTTTTCAGTCACTTTACTGTTTTATTTGTATATGTAATTTTTTCAATTAAATTACTCATTTTTTCAACTAAACATTCTCATTTTTTCTGAAAATAAATGTCAACTTGTCAAAAAATAGAGTGAATACAAAAATTTATGCCAATTTAAAATTACATTATACGAAAATATGATACTCATTCACTTTCTACTCATGCGTAGAGTAAAAAGGCAAGATACATAATCGAGTTCTTATTTTTTATTTCTAAGGAGAATGGAGCTATATAGAATATTTGTTACCGCAATCTTTATGGATTTTGAATGGTTATAGATTATTTTGTAAACTTCTCATTCTCTTGACTTAGAAATTAATTAAAAAAGGCAAAAGTTTATGAAAGATTTCATTACATAAAATTTTGAAATATTGGGGCCACATAAATTTGTATATAAAATTTCTGTAGCGCACAGTAACAACGAGTATAACAATTTTAAAAATGTATACTAATTTGGCAATTAATTTCAATATAGAATGAAATTATTTAAAATTTTTTCTTACAATTATTTTTGTTTTTTTTTGTTTTTCTATTTTTTCTTCAATTATAAATTGTTGACTGAAATTTTATTATTATTGGTATTTGTCGTTGTTTTTTCTTATTCTACACGTACTGTGTGGTGCTAGTTACTTGTAATATCAAAAAAAATTTCTTGTTCTTTATATTTAATTTCTGCTTTTTTTTTTATTTTACTTGTATTCCTAACACTACTCAACTATTAATTTTAAACTCAAATTCATAATTCTAATATATTTTTTTTATATATATATAAAATGTTGTTGTATTTTTTTTATTTTGTTAAAAAGGTAAGTACTATCAATCGTGTACCACTGAAGCGCACGAAAATTAAATTTATAAATAAAAATTAAATAATGATAAAAAAAAAAAGAATAATATAAAACAAAAATAACTTAAGAACAGATAGAAAATTAGTTATAGAAATAATAACAAAAAATAATAAGAAAATAAAAAAAAACGAGAAAAAAAATAGAGTTGACCTTGTCAACT